CACGTACTGTATTTATATATATATATTTAGAGCGAGAGAATTAAGAACGTATATAACCCGCATGACAGAACAAAACAACTCCGCCTCAAAATAGACAAAACAAAACAAAAACAAAAAAAAATGACAAGCGTAATAGCTGAGGTTTATGTACCTTCCGCCTTGGAGAGATGTTTAGCAAGAGGGGGGGGGGAGGGGGAGGGACGGAGAGAGGGGGATATTGGGGAGGAGGGGGGGAGAAGGGGGGGAGGTAAAGAGGTCGGGGTATCTGTTCTTCACTGTCTGGCTGTCTGTCTTTCTGCCACACACACACACACACATACACACACACATACACACACACATACACACACACACACACACACACACACACACACACACACACACACACACACACACACACACACACACACACACACACACACACACACACATACAGACACAGATACAAACATAGACAACCATACAGATAAATAAATAGATGATCAGACAAACAGACAGACAAACAGACAGATAGATAGACAGAGAGACAGATAGATAGATAAATAGACAGTACATATACACACGCTCCCCCCCCCCCCCCCCCGACCTGTCTCCTCCAACGCCCTCTTCTCCCCCCCCCCCCCCCTTCACGCGTGGCCTGTTATTTTTACAGGGACGAAAGAATAAGATGGAGATAGATGTTTTTTTTCCCGGTTGGCTCGCGTTAAGGATTTTTGGGGTGGGGGGGAGTGATGGGGGGTGGGGGGAGGGGAGAGTGGGGGGGAAGTAAGGGGAGAAAGGTGGGAAGGAGGGAAAGTTGAAAGGACGAAGATGAAGAAGAAGAAGAAGAAGAAGAAGAAGAAGAAAAAGAAGAAGAAGAAGAAGAAGAAGAAGAAGAAGAAAAGGAAGAAGAACAAGAACAAGAACAAGAACAAGAAAAGAACAAGAAAAAAGAACAAAAGAAGAACACGATAAAAACCAAGAACAAGAACAAGAAAAAGAATAACAACAACAACAACAACAACAACAAGGAAAGGGGAATATCAAGCTCTTGCTGCCAAAAGTCGCGAATGAAGAGCTTGTACATCAACAAGACAGTAAATCTCATTACAGGGGGAGGTGGGGGGGGAGGGTGACGGAGGAGGGGGAGAGGGGAGTGAAGGGGGAGGGGGTGTAGAGGAAAGGAGAGGGAAAGGGTGGGGGAGGAGGGGAGGGGGGTAGGTAAATATATAGATCGATAGATAAATAGATGGATAGGTAGGTAGATAGATAGAGAGATAGATAGATAGATAGATAGATAGGTAGGTAGATAGGTAGACAGACAGATAGATAGATAGACAGGTAGATAGATTGATAGCTAGATAGACAGACAGACAGATAGATAGATAGATAGATAGATAGATAGATAGATAGATAGATAGACAGACAGATATGGAATGAGGAAAGGGGGTGGGTAGAGGGAGACAGAGGAAAGGGGGGAGGGGGGAGGGAGAGTAATTAGAGGGGTTGATGGTGCCATTAATGGTAATTATTATTGTAATTATAATTGTAACGATGATGAAAAAATAATGATAGAAATAATTATTATAAAGGTAGTTATAATTGATAAGCTATCGTAATTATAATGATAATCTGATGAGATTGTGATAATGATAATAGTAATTATAGTAATAATAATGATAACGAGGATGATAATAATTATATTAATGATAATAATATTAATGATAATATTAATAACAGTGATAAAAATGATAATAATGATAATTAGGTATTTATCATATCAACGGAAATAATGGCTTGCTTGTACCCATTAAACCTTTAAAAATTGAACCCTTAAAACCTTAAAAACTTTTACCCTTAAAACCTTTCAACCTTAAAACCTTAAAACCCTTAACCCTTAAAGCCTTTAACCCTTTAACCCTTAAAACCTTAAAAACTTTAACCTCTTGCACCCTTAAAACCTAAAAAACCTTAAAACCTTAAAACCTTTAACCCTAAAACATTAAAACCTAAAAACATTAAAACCTTAAAACTTTATAACCTTTCAACCTTAAAACCTTCAACCCTTAAAACCTTAAAAAACTCTAACCCTTAAAACAAACCTTTAAACCTTAAACCCTTAAAACTTTAAAACCTTACAAACTTTAACCCTTAAAACCATTAACCGTCCCCTTCCCTCCCCCACAGGTCGCGAGCACGCCTGCCGCTTCATCGGCTGCGGGCGCAACGAGCGGTTCAACTACGTGGTGATGCAGCTTCAGGCCAAGAACCTGGCGGAGCTACGTCGGGCGCAACCCAGGGGCGCTTTCAGCCTCTCGACCACGCTGCGCCTTGGGCATCAGATCCTCAGGGCTATTGAGGCCATCCATGAAGTCGGCTTCCTCCATAGGGATATCAAGCCGGTAGGTGTGGGTGTGAGAGGGAGAGAGGGAGGGAGGGGGAGAGGGAGAGAGGGAGGGAGGGAGGGAGGGAGGGAGGGAGGGAGGAAGGGAGGGAGGGAGGGAGGGAGGGAGGAAGGGAGGGAGGGAGGGAGGGAGAGAGGGAGGGAGGGAGAGAGGGAGGGAGAGAGAGGGAGAGAGAGGGAGAGAGAGAGGGAGAGAGAGAGAGAGAGAGAGAGAGAGAGAGAGAGAGAGAGAGAGTGAGAGTGAGAGAGAGGGAGAGGGAGAGGGAGAGAGAGAGAGAGAGAGAGAGAGAGAGAGAGAGAGAGTGTGTGTGTGTGTGTGATGTTGTGTGTGTGAACGTATGTGTGTCTCTCTGTAACTATATGACTAATATAAAGCCTTATCATAAACCTTCTCTAGGAAGTGTTAATAACAATGAAAATTTCATGCCATGTTGGAAAATAAACAAAAACTATGACTTTAAAGAGAGAGAGAGAGAGAGAGAGAGAGAGAGAGAGAGAAGAGAAGAGAGAGAGAGAGAGAGAGAGAGAGAGAGAGAGAGAGAGAGAGAGAGAGAGAAAGAGAGAGAGAAAGAGAGAGAGAGAGTGAAAGAGTGAAAGAGAGAGAGAGAGAGAGAGAGAGAGAGAAAAGAGAAAAGAGAAAAGAGAAAAGAGAAGAGACAAGAGAGAAGAGGGAATGAAAGAAAGACAGAAAGAATGATATAAAAGTAAAAGACGGAGAGGTTGCACTAAGTAGATAGATAGATAGATAGATAGAGAGGAAGAGATGATAAATAAAGTTAATCAAAAACTATTTTTTGGACATCATCAAAATGCAACAAAATTAGCAAGGGAAAGGAGAAGAAAGGATGAAAGCATAAAAAGATATAATAATAAAGAGGAAAAATTAAAAAGATACAATAGTAAAGAGGGAAAATTAAACAAATAAATAATAATGATAAAGGAGAGGAAAGGAAAATGAAGGAGGGGGTGAGGAAAGGAGGAGGAAAAGTAGGAGAAGAAAGGAAAATGAAGGAGGGGGAGAGGAAAGGAGGAGGAAGGGAGGGGGAGAGGAAAGGAAAATGAAGGAGGGGGAAAGGAAAGGAGGAGGAAGGGTGGGGGGGAGAGGAAAGGAGGAGGAAGGGGGGGGGGAGGAAAGGAGGAGGAGGAGGGAAGAGGAGGAGGAGGGGGGGAGAGGAAAGGCGGAAAGCAGACAGCCATGCAAGGCCGCGCAGGTATGCAGTTCGCAAACAGGTTTCGTGTGAGCCGGCTGAGTGCTTACCTTCCTCACGTACTGCGGGGATGCATGCGCTGTCGCTGGTGGCGGTGGGGGGGGGGGGGGAGAAAAGGGAGAAGGGGAGGAGAGGGGAGAAAGAAGAGAGAGGGAGGAGAAGGGAAGGAGAGGGGAGACGGGAAGGAAAGGGGAGAAAGAAGAGAAAGGAAGAACGAAGGGAGAGGGGAGACAGGATGGAAAGGGGAGACACGAATGAGAGGGGAGAAAGGAGAGAGAGAGGAGAAAGAAGGGAAGGAGAGGGGAGAAAGAAGGGAGAGGGGAGACAGGTAGGAGGGAGGAGGAATAAGAGAGGGAGGAGAAGGAGAGAGGAGAAGGAGAGAGGAGAAGGGAAGGAGAGATAGAAGGGGGATAGAAAGAGAGGAGAAAGAAGGAAGTAAATGAAGAGGGAGAGGAAATGTGGGGTAAGAACGTAGTTTAAAGAAGGGATAGGAGGAGGATGGAAGGCAGAAAGGAGAGGAAGAGAAGAAGGAGGAGAAGAAGGAGGGAGAGAAGAGAGGAAAAGGGAGAGGAAGAGAAACACGGATGTATAGAAAGTCAGGAAGAAAAAGTGGGAATGAGAGAGGGAGGAAGAAACCGGATAGGGAAGGAGAGAGGGATAGAAAGTAAGGGGCAGAGGAATAGATGAAATGAAAAAACGTAAGCAAAGGAAGGAGGAAAATAAAGGCAGATAGGGAGAGAGACGAAGAGGAAAGGGAAGTAAGAAAATGAGAACGAGAGAGAGAGAGAGAGAAAGAGAGAGAGAAAGAGAGAGAGAAAGAGAGAGAGAGAGAGAGAGAGAGAGAGAGAGAGAGAGAGAGAGAGAGAGAGAGAGAGAGAGAGAGAGAGAGAGAGAGAGAGAGAGAGAGAAAGAGAGAGAGAGAAAAAAAAAGAGAGAAAGAGAGAGAGAAAAAGAGAAAGAGAAAGAGAAAGAGAGAGAGAGAAAAAAAGAAAGAAAGAGAAAGAGAAAAAGAGAAAGAGAAAGAGAAAGAGAGACAGAGAGGGAGAGGGAGAAGTGAGAAAAAAAGGTCCAGGTTCCAAACTAAATATGAAGAAAGAAAGAAAGAAAGAAAGAAAGAAAGAAAGAAAAACTCGGATGTAAGACTAGAAGTAAAACCACAAAGCAGAGGGAAATGGGACGAGGACGCCAAACCGAGAATAAACACAGGGAAACAAAAGAAAAAAGAAAGAAAGAAAGAAAAAAAAAACGAAAACGAATTAAAAAAAAAAAGAAAAAGAAAAAAGAAAAGAAAAATACGATAAAGCAGGAGCCAAGAGACAGTACAGAGAAGCAACAGCAGCATGACTTCCTTCCCTCCCCCTCCCCCCCCCCCCCTCCCTCCTCTCCCCCCCCCCAGGTGGTGAAACACG